AAGAGACGACACACTGGGCGGGGGCAGAAATAATTGAGGCACATTCATCAGTGCCTCCGTCCTTGACGGCCAAGCTAGACTGTTCGACAGAGTTTAGAACGACAGCATTGTAAAGAAGACGATCTGCTTTATCTGGTCTTTTTAATTCCGGAATCCTATCACCTCGAGTTAGTTCAGGAGGAGATTCGCAAAGGTGGGTGTCAGCAGAAGCTTGTTGCTCCTAATGGAGGAATTTCGGTAAAGTGAAAAAGTAAGTCCAACTACCGGCAAACTTTAAGCGTAGCAGCGGGACAGCCCAAAAATAAGCCAAAAAACAATCACGTTGGGCGCATTTACTAAAGAGCATAATAATTAGAGCCGAATAGCAATTATGACATTCAAATAATTAGCGCCTAATACTTTTGAGGAGCGATAGACGAAATATGCCGCTATGAAAACAAACATCCAACTAACCCGGAAATCCGGCTCAGTTGATTTATGACCACCCAGATCAACGTAGCAAATTGGGGGAGAGCCCTGTTCATAAGAGGATTTCTCCGAGCATTCAACCGACGAAGGTACTTGGGTATCGGGCTCATTTCCATTATTTTCCTCAAAAGTGCTACTTAAAGGTCGCTCAGCATTAGCTGTTTCCATTAACAAAAAAAGATGTTTCAACCATTAAAGCGGACCTCACTAGCAGAGAAAACTAAAACAATTCCGGCTTTCAATATAACGCGCTTGATATTAGCATAGATTTAAACATAGTCTGCACAGTTTGCCAAAATTTATGGTAAAATCCGCCCATAAAAGACTGCCGTATTAATAATATTTTAAGTTTGCAATTAGTAGTACTATGCTACCTCTAGGTTATATAATAGGGCAAAAGTGGGGACTCATCGATGATAGGTAGGGTAGCTAGTAGTTGGAACAACAACTCACAATCTTTTGAGACGAAGAAAGGTCGGAATCTATTTAAGAATTACAATTGGGCAAAATCATGTTTGACTTAAAAGTCATTAAATTCGTCTGGCCAAGGTGAAGGTCCGCGTAAGGTTATCTGAATAATAGTTCAAATCAAACCATTTCATAAAAGGCTAAAAAGAGTAGCGTCGATTACTATGCGGACACCTTTTCCCTAGCTGTATCCTGTGATAAGCTATTTGTGGAATTGGGGCTTTTTCACTTCTCAATCGTAAAAAACAAAAGGCAGCTAGTAATATTTTATTTTTGACTAATTGATTTAAATTTAAAGGGCTGACATTAAATTTAAAACTTGTTAATTTCTGTAGTGAAACGCTTTTTCCCTTGTGTCACTAAAACACTATGAAATGTCTATGGTCTTTTGTGCAAACTATGGTTTATATTTCTCTCAATTTTTCTAAATTAGATTCTCTTTACTAATCGTTTTATCGTATCAAAAATGACCTTACGGTAAATAGTAACCAAATCACTCTCCAGATATACTGGTTCACAATTTACTTCCGAAGAAAGTTGTTCTATTACCAAGGATGCCAAATAAGCTTTTATACTTTAGGGGACCCTTCTTATGAGTTGTCTGCTTGTTGTAACACACGGAAAGTTATGCGATGATTTTTAACTAGAATTTTATTGCAGAGTTCAAAATATGATCAAATCCTTTTAGCTATCAAGGACTTCCAACCGATCTAGTGCTAGTTTAAATGTATAGGGGTTAGCATTTGAAATGTACAGTAGAACCTTTTTTGGATTCTCCTTAGTCAATTTTAATTGTGTTCTTCTAAATACCGTATGGGATCATTATTGGATAACATGGGAGTATTTGTCACCTAAAACTGAACTTTTACTATTCCCTCCAAAAAGTGCCCTAATGTAGTTAAACACATTTATTCTAACACAATTTTTTCTTTTCCTTTTCCAGTTTTAACATGAACCTTTTTAAGCTAAGACCCAATGCCTCCAAGCTAAAAGAAAAACCATTACAATCATTAATATTCCCTCCTGTGTTTTTTGCCGAATCATCAGAAATTACTGCGTATTTATTTAATTACTCATCAACAGCCCTAGATTTCTCCGCACATATCACAAGATGTCCCGAAGTAAGCAATCAAACATATTTTTATGACTCGCATAAGACATCAGGAAAACATGCATTGCCAAATATAACATTATCTCCAAAGTCGGGACGATTAAGTCCACAGAGAAGCATTTTGCTGAAAATCGTGTGTCTAGCAACTTTACCTATAAAAGAAAAAGGATTTATTTCGCAGCAACACACTATTGACTCCATCACCGCCTCTGGCTTTATAGAGATCGCTTATGGAAAGCTGGGTAGTAGAAGCATTTCCGAAATATTTTCGCTTTAAAATCTGATGTCACTTTTCTCTTGTCTTCTCAATGCATAAATGGACCTTGTCACCTCAGAACTAGACCACTTTTGTTTTGAAATACCGTGTAGATGACAACACTATCTGTGACACAAGAATACTAAAAGTGCCTTTCTCGGCCACATTTGAGGCACTATCGGTGACACTTAAAGCAGAGACCACCTTATCTGACGCGGTAAACCTCGAAACCCTTGATTTCGGCTGCTGTATGACTCAAAAATGTATCACAAAGCATCTTCTTATCAGGAACAACTCTAAAATGCTTTCTGTGCAATTCCACTTCTCAAAAATTGCTCACTTTCACTTTCAACCTTTTCAAGGAAGAGTGGAACCTGAAAAAGTCCAAATTGTCTCAGTAGTCTTTGCTCCAAATCAATTGGGTAGTTTATTGAAAAATTTTAAATAAACTTATGCCTTTTCAGGATTGCTTTCAGATCAGTCAAAGCTATCTATCTTTGGAATAACTTCAAAAGTCCTTCAGACGTGTTTGCTGAATGTGATTGGGAATGCGACAATATCTGAAGAATCTGCAAACCAAGAAGGAATCCTAAAATTTGTCGAAATTGGGCGACTTTTTAGTAATAAGGGCAACCATGAGTAGATTTTTATAATTTTCAAATTTATTGTCTTTAGATATCCCAGGCTAGATCATGAGGACGGCAAACTAATATGTAAGCAAAGGCATACAGAAAGGACTGTTTTTTCAGACCCACAGTTACTTGATTTTGGCACAATGTGCTTAAAAACAATATCATCCAAAGTGTTGAAGATCAAAAATTGTCAAAATCGGCCGGTTTTGGTGCAGTTACATTCTCATAATTATCAAGTAGAGATAAAAGATGACACGAGTCGTGTGATTTCACCTCATGGTACCCACGGTTTTGAAATATCTGTGTCACCGAAATTGCCTGGAGTATTTCAAGGGTAAGTAATGGGTTAGAGAGGTACCCTTTTTTCCAGCCAAGCAGTAGTCGAATGAGTTTGAGCGGCTTTAGGTTGAATGACCTAATCGGTAAAAGTAAGGCACTTGTTGAGATATTCACCACTAGGTGTAATGGCTTCATTTTCCATATTACCTACCCTTTGTTCCAAATCTCACTGTTATGTGAAAGTCGAATTGGCTCGAGGTGTTGTGTAGTCCTGTAAGAATAGGGCTTGCTTCTGATAAGGCGATTCACTAATCTTGCCTGACCTAAAAAAGTCTTCTGTCTTGTGTACCTTTGAGTTGTAGAGCCTTGAGTAGATAGGTATCGCACACAAATGCTTTCCAGTATAAAAATGTACCAAATGTCCAAGAGATGTGGGGTAGTGAGCAGATCGTTTGGAGATAACCAGCGTTATGCCCACTGTTCTAACAAACTTTGGAGAATACGAAAACTATTTCTCACAGAAAGCCGATCAAACAGAAAGCAACGTAAAATGTACGACGTTTTTTATATGTGATGAAGGTAGGTAGGTAGGTAGGGGGAGAAGGAAGGAAAGGAGGATTAAAATATAAACTCGAGTCTCCAATTATCTACTTTCAGTTTACTTAACCTCCAAGTTGACGGAGCACCTTTCAACTGCATCAATGTGAAAGCCCAAGCAGAGCTCCCATATTTGGAGATCTATCCAAATAAAATCACACTCAAACCGCAACGCGGATCGACGTGTCTGATATCTGTGGATGGTCTACGAGAATTTGTGTGCTTGAAGAATCATCTAAATATGCCCGTACACTTCAGGTGGACCTCAAACAGCCAATGGGAAAGCCTGAAAATTAATCCGGAAATAGGTACACCATAATTTCCATCAATTCAAGAAATTTTGTTTATTTGTTTATTTTAGAAGCTTCGTTTATTTATGTATCCCCTATTATACAATAAATACCGCAAACTCATCTAATAACCTCAAAGCTATGTGAAATTTTTAAACAGAGATACGTAGCAGATGCATCAATTCCAAAATGTTCACAAACTCCGCCATTTTGGCAACAAAAAAATAGTTGTTTTGTTATCAAAAAATGTTTCACTCAAGTTCTACACATGTTTATTTTTTCCCCTTTTAAACACTTTTCCTTCTATTTTAATTGGTTTAGTTACTGATGCCAGCACCAAAAAATTGGACCAATGGCCTTTCAGATGACGTCATTTTTGAGCCCATTTAAAGATAATTGGTGCAATTAATTTGTCTTTTAGAATCTTTATTTTCACCAATTACGTGGTGGTCTTCAATAACCCTTGTTTGAAATTTCGTCACCTCAAGGAATACACAACGTTTTACAAAACCCACCTTTTGGCTTAAGATAAACAAGAGACATTCTTTTTTTGAGCCACCTACTATTGGCAACACTGCCGTTAAATCACTGCACCTTTGTTGACTCCAAGGCATAGTTTCCCCCAACAACTGCCAAAACTGCGAAATCACCTACCGATATTCCTTCAACGAAGGAAGAATTGCAGGAGGAAAAGCTACTTTTTGCCTCTCAGCCTTTCTCGGGAGTCCAGTTCACTTAGAAGGTGTTAAAACAGAGGTGGATGTTCTTCTCCATCTTCCATCACCAAAGCTGACTTCAACCTCTAAGAGAATCAAGCTGGGCGATGTGCCCTACGGCTTAGAAATCGTGCGTACTTTCAGATTGCGTAATATTGGTGGTGGACCGGCTTTCGTGGAGTTCCGTGCGCCTTCTGTAGTTGATGATGTCAACCTTAATGTTGATCCAAGTCGAGTTGAAATCAGAAGTCAGGAAGGAGAAACATTCAAGGTAACATTACCAACTAACCAGAGTAAAAAATGCCAAAAATCTTGACCCATTAGGGTTGATGTCAGTGATGGTGGGGAGGGGAAGAAGGAGGGGGCGATGTCTATAAAATAAGATAACGATGAAATAGTTTGAATGATCCACTTGTAGTGAAGAATCAGTCAAAGATTCTAATCCCTACAAATTTTTTAGACTACCGTCGCCTTTCAGGTGACTTTTTTGAAACACCATGAGCCCAGTCAAAAGATTTATGTGAGTTTATTTAATGCAACTGTACAACAAGTGAATTTTCTTAATATCTAGTTAAATATTATAGTGTAATGATCTTTATTAAGTGATGGAATATTTATTCATATGCAAAATTTGTCAGTTTGACAAGCTTATAGTTTGAAAACGACGACAGTCCTGATATTAGTAAAAATTCTCCTAATGTGTAGTTCGTAAATTTACCACTAAAATTAACAAATGAGGTTTCAAATTCTACCAAAATGCGGTTGGTTAGCTGGTCACTTTTTTATGTAGCATACACTACAGTGACACCAAAATACGTGCGGCTGTGCTCGATGATCTTTAAAGTTCTATCTGACAGATACTTCATTCACAAGATAAGAATGTTTTATAATAACGTCCTAATAATCCAACGTATATCATGACACTGCATCTGGTAGATCAATTTGTGTAAATTTTCATTCATTTACGGATTTAAATAACCTATGGATATTTGGATAACATAAGAATTCACTTTAAATCTTGGCTCAGTACCTGTACAGGTGTCAAAAGCGTCGCCAATCCAGCCAATCGGATTTAAGTTATTTAGAATACTAACAAGTGATTGGTTTACGCCAATAGAAGTGCCTCGAGTTTTCTGTGAAGGAATATAAAGTCATGTCAATGTAGAAGTACTATTGAGTGAGGAACTATAAGCTCATCAGAAAAGCCATACCGTAAAACGACAGGGCCAATCGTGGTGATCATGTGGTAAAATATCTTACGATTGCACAGCCGAATTCTCCGTCTGGCTATCGTCCCCACCCTCCCATTGCCACTCTTTCAATTCGGACAACACAACGCTGGCGAAGCATCAAAAACCATCCACGAGGTAGGAAAGATGTCCATTAGATTAGCATTAAGAGGTCAGTGAGAATCTTGCCACTTCCTCTGTCGCCAAATCTGTGTCTGCTTCGTTAATTGAAAGATGGTCCCCTCCTTCCACCCCATAACGAGGGCAGTTTAAACCATAATTGTGATCTGTATGTAGAATGACCTAGAAACGTAACCTCAAGGTGACATTTTCTGGTGTTTCTTCCTCCTGGTCACTTTGTTCCCATCTGGGGGATATCTGCGACTCCAAAAATAATTCTAACTTCGGTTTTCTAAAAGCTTCTCTTTCCCCGCCTAATCCTCGGGCATTTCAGAACGTCTTTGAACTTGCTCTGTCGTTCATTACTTAATGCTCTTATGTATGCTCAAAATCAGTAATTCTTAAGGCCAGTCAGTCTCTGACCCCAGCATTCAGTTAGCAGTTACATACGTGCTTCCAACTTACCCATACATCTCACAAATTAAAATAGTCTTACCAAAGCTTTTGTCTCCTGAAAATTGGAGTGTGGGAACTTGACAGTACCCGAGTACACGTACATAGTTACCAGTTTAGGTACATCCATTTGCCTAATTCGTATTTCCACCTCATCTTTAACTGTTATGCTGTCAGATCACGAGAGTGAGCCACGTGACTCTTCCAGAAGCTTTTGTTGTGTGTCTACAAATTTATTCCTCCACATTGGAAGTCTTCCCTCTGTAACGCTCAGAATCACCCGACCGATTAGCAAAATGTGAACTGTCTTCTCTTAGTTCCAATTTTATTACCCCTACCTCTTATATGGTGACTCGAGGTTTCTACTAATACACTATTGAGGAGTGTCAAGAGAAAAACGATTTATTATCTGTTTATACAAGACCCAGATGGTTACAAGTGTGAATGCAATTACTGCTTGCAGTTTTACTAACCCGGATGATAAAATGCACGGCTAAGGAAATTTTATTTGTCTAAATCAGCTTAATTCGTACTCACTTAGTTTTTCATATTAGTGTTAGAATTTCGGGCTGTTGACATTTTTAACTTCATGTGAGATCATTCTTGTTAGGGCAGGCAAAAAGAAGCAAAGTTTACTTAAAAATGCCGATCTTAGAAATGGATAAATTTCTGTACAAAATGCTAGTTATTTGCGTCTTGCGACAGTGGGACAGAGCTGCATGGGAAATCCGTTTATTTCCACCATATCATGGCAACTTAGTCGTTTAACCATAATAATAAATTGGCTCATAAACTCGACCAGTTGCTGAAGCAACAGCAGCGCAATAATAACCAATTATAATTTGCTCTTCAAAGACGCTAATACATGATTGGTCAGATGGTCACAAGCAGATTGTTTTGTGATGCACTAGCATAAAAGTTTAAAAAAACCACAAAACTTTCATTCATGATTATTTAAATCGTCGCCTTGCACTTTTTGCCTATGCGGGTTATTAGTCATATTTTTACTAGCCGAACCTATGTTTAATAAAATAGGTGACCTGTTGCAGTCGAAAAACGGGCTACTTTGAAATTCCCATTTCGATACTTCACGTCAGTAAGGAGGTAATGCAAACAACTGCACAGGGGATGTGCATTTTCCCCAAAATCGAAATTTGTCCTTTTCGAGTGGGGTTCAAGTGTGGACATGGTGACAATGAAGTCCTGGGAACTCCAATTGGGGAAAAGTCAAAGACTTCATTTGCAGTAAAAAATGTATCACCAGTTCCAGCTAGCATTGAATTTGACCTCAGTAATTGCAAAGACTTTAGTGTTGACCAAGGGAACCCGGGCCTACTAAAACCATTCTCGTCGAGGAATTACGAACTTATCTTCAAACCAGATAAGGCAGGTTTTCTTGCAGCAGACCAAATAAATCCTGATTATTAGCTGCCCTTTTATGTAAAAAAGGATTTTAAGTTGCTCTATATTTTAATCTGCACTTTTGTAGTGGATCTAAGTCAGAACAGCCAATAAGAAATTCGATCTTGCTTTTAAAATTTACTCTCTTTAAGGCTATGTTAATACAATACTTGGTAGCAAAATAGGGTGTTTTGACAGAATTTTGCTGATCAGAGGTGTGTTTTGTCAGTTTAGGTTTCGAATTTCGACTTGATGCTTCCATTAATTGTCAACGGGAAACGAATTACATCTGACGCTTGTCGAGTGACAGCGACCAGCATCCGTGGCTTGGTTAATGTATCTCCAAGAGTTATTTCTGTCGAGCTTTCACCATCAATTGTCGAATCACCTGAGATCATTCAAAAGGTGAAACCTTAGGACATCCCTAATTAGTATAAAAATAAAATTTCAGGATAAAAAATTAAGATTTGTAATGACTAACATTGTTGTAAGCAGCACTTTTGATTTCGATAGTCACTACAGCCAATGTTCGCATTCCCTTACTCCAAAAGTTGGTTGGCTATGGCCTAACCAATCACATTAATCTGCGCCTCTTAAATGCAATCTTTGAATATTTGCAGGAATTTCAAATTGAAAGCTGTGCAAATCAAGTGATACAGTGGCAAATTGACACAAGCAACTTACCCTCCGCAATATCTATTGAATGCGATGGGTGTAACGACGACAACCTATGTGGAACCCTAAGAGAGCTTAATGCATCGGTCAAATTTATAATCACTTTAACACTTGGTAAATTCAAACTGCATTGACTGATTGAATTCAATGCATGCTTCTCTAGATCAACTAAATTTCCACCCCTTGGAAGTTCCAATCATTGTTGAGGACGACTGTAACCAATCACAGATGAGCTTTGTGACCATTCTTATTAAAAATGTCGAGGTCAAGCTGGCATGTCATCCCTCACATGTGATCCTTCCACCGATTCCGCTTTCCACGCGTGTGGACATTGACCTACATCTGACGATTGATTCTGCAGAATACAATTTCCAATTGGAAAATATCGGATTTGCTACATGGAACGAAAAACTCCAGAAGAAATGTCCATTTTCAGTCGTTCTTCCACAAGGAAAAGGTAAATTTGATGCAAATTTTGGAAATTATGTTATCTTCTTTGGTAGTTGCTGACAGCAAAATTCTTGCATCAAGGCACAAATCTTGGTATTTTGATGTTTCAGATCCCAACTAACTTTAAACTTTAATGCCTCATTGATAATCCTTCACGTTGATATTTTGACTTTCCATCTGTTTGTATTTCAAGGTCCAGTTTTTTTGTTCTAGCATTCCGGTCGAAATCTATTTCACAGGAAATGGTTGTTCGACTGCAAATTGAATCATCTCACTTCTTCGTCATTTCCAATCGACCCCAACCGCCCTGCCTCTTATTCATTGCTGAGTCTTTAAAAGGCGGCAGAAAACTTCACCTTTACGCCTGTGTGCCGTTTGTGTTCTCGACGGACGACAGTTCTTTCAGTCTTGTCCACTTTAACTCCCTTCCAAAAGCGCAAGTTACCAAATCTGCCAATTCGCGTCCCGGTAGTATATAGCGCAAATGTCATTTCTTTATCTCTTTAGGTCAGGAGAAAGTTTGATGGCATATCAACGAGAACTGGACTCAGGAACCAGTCACGTAATCGAGCGGTGGCTTCGTCACTATGGTTTTCCTGGAGGTATACGTGGATTAAACTTCCCCATCGATTTTCAACGGTAAATAGTTAACTTTAAGGTCAAAAAGGGTCATCAGTCTATTCATGATAAGTAGTTATTTAATATTGCCTTCAGTTGTCTATCTCTTCACTATATTCAACTGCAAGAGCAACCTCAAAAGAGCAATCAAATAGTGCATAGCCTTGACGTCCTGGTTGAATGTTTGGCTCACATGGCGGCCTCCTGGAGTCTACCTGGTGTCCCGAGATCCCTAACTCTGCCCACTGATGACACCGCCACTTGCATTGGAGCACTCTACAATCATCACGCGGCTTTGGTTTGTTTTGTTGAAAGGTAACTCTTCAATTGAAGTAATGAGACTATACCAGACTTTACCAGAAGGGAGCAGAGGCTAGCCGAGGTTGATCAACCTAGGTATTACGATGGTGAATAGATCTTCTTCTCATCTTAAAAAACATCTTCCTCGGCGCTTTCTAACTTTAATCTCCTGCACCTGTCACGGTGAATGCATTTACGTAGCTTAGATACTAATCCTGGGCGACTGGAAGTCGTTCAGTAGGTTCCCAGAGCAGTGAGACAGTCAAATGGGGTCGATTAGCCTACTTTCTTTGTATTTTTCTCATCTCCAATCAGCCAAGGCGGTTGTGTGGGTCACATCATGCCAGAATACCTGATGACTTACAACGATTACCTCGACTGGATACGTAATGGACGTCCATGTGGATGTGACGACCTCTTCTATGTGGATATTCCGACCAAGGCAGCACTGGACGGCGTATCACCCACTCCGACAGTTATCTTGGGCAATGCCAATGGAAATGTTTGTCTACGCTACCCTTTAACACCGACTCTTGACGAAGAAGCCTTCGACAAAACTTCTCGCATAGCATGGGTAGATCTCTTTCTTCAGCTCCTAAAGGTAAATTGCTTTCTCTCAATTGCACAGTCCTATCTTTTATCGGAGGATTTAAAAGTGTGAGTGATTTATCAATAGAGCTTACTGTAATCATCTGTCAACAGTGTCACCGCATCATGGGCAACATTTTCTTCATCGTGCTTTACAAAATGACAGTAGGTAGCATATTCCGTTGATGTAGCAGCAATGATAGATCACTTTCAGGTTGGTCCTCCACTCCTAATAGTCAAGAAGTTCATACCACCATTAGCAAGTATCAGTGGTAAGGGTGATAAAAGAGTTTGCTCTTAACCTCATCAACGGGCAAGGACGGGTAGGACGATGTAGAAATGACTAAACAAATGGATCCCAAGCGTCTTGCATTAGCAAGAAATGAGGGTTAATAGCATTCAGAGGCTACCAATGCGGAGCTCCTCACCACCACCTCATCCTTAGACTACCACCCCTGCCTTGAGTGTGTGTGTACGCACGGCGCACTGTAGAAGCACCCGTTTTACGGGAAATCATCCTCCTTCTATAGACCTTGGAGATCGGTAAAGGAACCGAGGCCAAATTACTTCAATGGATCAAGAGATCTCTGGTACACGGATGGACCCAGTTGTGTGAGGCTAACACTCAATTTAACACCTCAACGTGGATCCACCTTCCCCGTCCTAGGATTAAAAACTTTCAAGAAGATCTCGCTAGTGGCCTTGCATTAGCTGCTGTTATTGCAGATCAGGCCTCCTTCATGGTGAGTAGTTACTGAATTTGATCTAGACCTAATTTCTTTTCCTTTTCACCACTTCTAGAAGGAAGAAGTACTATCTGAAGTTAATTTGGATCCAAAAGATCCTCAGCTCCGATTTCATAATGCTGTTCAAGTAGTCAAAGCATTGGAGCTTATGCGGATGGATGCTGACTTAACACCCGTTGACATATTCCATCCAAATGTCCTACATATGACGCTGGTTTTATCTAGGCTCTATCGCCTTCTCCCAGAGTACAAGATCAAATCTACGATCTTATTCAAAGGTTATGCTGTATTTTCTTCTGATTTGAGTAATTTAATTTTCTAGGCAAGTTACAAACTTGCGTGATGGAGGACCTAAACTTGACCAATCCAACCAATCAGCTACTACGCTATCAATGCTTTTTCATTGGCAGGAAGGCCGAATCCTTTAAGTTCAGGGGAGCGGCAAATGACATCCGAACGATGGAGCTGGAGTTGACACCAAACAGTGCATCTACTTTAACTCTGAGTTTTACGTATGTAAAGCGCTCCTCCTTATTCTCCATTTGATTAGTGGGTTTTATAAAGCGATATGTCGTTCCAGCCAATCATCTTAAAGCTAAAATGGCTAGAAATTAAATGGGAAAATTGAAGTACACTACTTATTAAAAGTAGTTTTCTTCTTGTATTTATTCATTTTTAGAGTTTCTTCTCTCCACCAATGCGAAGCGTATCTTCTTCTGGTGTCACAGAGAGGTTATATTCCAAGAGGTTCAACAATGGTATTTCGACTCATTGGTAAGGCAACCGGGCTGAAATCAGAAGTAAGTAGGCTTGATTCAAAGACAATTCTGCCATTTATCAAACTAAAATCTAGCCACGATATAAGAGCTCAATACTATCTGCTATGCTTAGCATATCGACAGTCAGAAAAAGAAGAATGTAGCTGCCTATGCAATATAAAAGTGGCTCAAAGAGGAGTCTTGGGTGATTTATCAACTCCCGCACCTTTACACGACTTCACTTTTTTAGCCCTAGTGGGTGAGTATTTAGAAGTAACCAGAAAAGCCGCATAACAGTATATCAGTCAGTTGGTTCCCAGTCGCTCGAAACATTTGAATGCACAGACTTGACGAATGTCATTTAAGAATATCCACCCTAAGAGGGAGTTTAACTCCCTCTCAAAACCCCAGATGCGTCAAGTGTGGAGAAGAGAGATTATAATTAAGTAGAACGAATTATACTTGATTTTGACTGGACCGACTTTTGCGTCAGTCCATAGTTGGTGTGTATTGAAACTGGATGATAGAAAGCACGTAGGGCTGTCGATCTTCTTTACACCAACTAAATTCAGCCATTGAAGCGCACCACTCATTAATAATTGGCAGAAGGATTGGCTAAATGATTTGTCATGAGAAAAACCGCTAACATTTAAGTAATTTTATTCCAAAACGACTATGACAATGAGATGTATGTAACATATGCCAAGTTATGTCTCAAAGATGACTCAATCTCACGCCAATCGTGAATGAAGAAACAATCAGTATCACATCCGGTCTGCTCATGTGTCACCCACCTGTCGTCCTGCCTACCTGCCTGCCCCCTCTTCACCATTCGGACAGCTACGATGGCTCCATGGTCTCAAATGTGCGACGGATAGGCCATCCTTAGCCAGAACACTGCTAGGGTGGTGCGTGTGTGTGTTTGTACCACAAGTTTCCATACAGTTACCTCACGCGTCTTCGCTCAAGGATATGCAAACGAAGACACCAATGCCGATACCCAAACCTTTCTCTCATTCATTGTGCAAACGTCCCACACCACACTTCCATCCCATCCACCGCTTCGTCTGCAGAAGAACGTGCCTGTCTTGCCCACGCGTGTGGTCCACTGGACACACACCTATTCGTCAGACGTCACTGACATCTCTGCTCTCGACACAACCGGGCACAGCGTGTGAAAGAATGCCTTGTTGTTGGGCCTGATGGCATATAGGTAGGACTGGTGAACCAGCCAGTGGGATGAAAGTGCTCCTCTAATGCAGCAGTACGATGGCCGCAATTCATGATGCTGCGAAACTTGCCAGTGAAAGACTGTACAATGTAGCTTATCAAGTTTTCAAGATCTGTCCGGTTGTCATTTCCTCCAAACAATCTGTTCATTACTTCTCACTTTTATTGAAAAAATTATAAATTGCCGTAGCGAAAGCTTTAAAATCGAGTCAAAGTTTGGTAGCCACAGGAACCTGATTTTGTTTATTTGCTCCTTCCCATCTTACCTGGAGCTGCAGTGAGATGCGTCAATATACAGGAAGAAGCGGATGACAGACTGCATTTATTCGACCAGACAGCTGGTTTTTTGCAGAAGAAGTGAACTTTTCTGCAGACATTCCAGACATGACTTAATTTTGTTTTTACTAATATATGTTTTAGGAGGTATTTAATTTCAAGACAACCTGCTACCAGGCAGTAATTGGGTCGATTCCAATTCGGAATCCCTTCAACGCGGCAGGTCATTTCAATCTTCGGGTTATGGAATCACCCCCATATTGTCCGGACATGTCTCCGGGTCGTCTTCGTGGTTTCTCATGCCGACTGTCTGAGGTATTCCTGCATGTAGAGAGGGTGACAAGTGTGGAGGTCGCTTTTCATCCCTTCAGTGTTGGCAAATACAGGGGACAGCTAGTGCTTTCAAATCAGGATCTAGGAGACTTTGCCATTGAATTGCGGGGTTGTTCTACAGCTTTCAAAACGACCTCTTCTGTAAATAAAGGTAATTTTCTTCCATAAAAAAGCCTTAACAATCCAACTTATCCATTCACCGCTAGGTAGACTATAGGAAATAATAGTCACCTATTACCACATCCTCCTGCTTTAAGCGTTGTGTCTCGTTGGATTCGTAATCATGGAGGCAAATCCCAAAATTCCACTTCAATCAAAAGTTTATCTTTTCCCTAAAGGCAAAAACCTGGCACTAGCTACTTACGGGTCCACATCACTTTTATTCCCTAATTGTCTAGCTTACTCTACATATGAATTTTGACATTCAGCATTGAGGAAAGGTGACAATACGTTGACGAAATAACACAGACAAAGAAGTGTAGAAATAATGGTGGAAGATGGGGATAGGAGTGGGTCTGTAGCCCTCTCCCTCACCCTACATTGTACAGTCTCTCACTGGCAAGTTTCGCAGCATCATAAATTAACGAGAAGTCGTACTTCTGTCATAGAAGTGTGGTGTGGGACGTTTGCACAATGAGTGAGAGGAAGGTTTGGGTATCGGCACTGGTGTCGCCGTTTGCATATCGTTGAGCGAAGACGTGTGGGGTAAATGTATGGAAACCTGTGATACAAACACACCTGCGCAAACGCCTTAGCAGTGTTCTGGCTGAGGACAGCCTATCCGCTGCATACTCGAGACCATGGAGTCATCGTAGCTGGCCGAATGGTGAAGAGGAGGCAGGCAGACATACGGGCAGACTGGACGTGAATCTGATTGTTCCTTTATCCGCAACTGGAGTGAAACTGAGTAGTCTTCCAGACACAACTTGGTATATATGATCATGCCCTACTGTGTTACATACAGATGGTTTATAAAGCGGTCATTTGACAGCTTGACATCTCTTTGTTATAGGCGTTTCGAGTTAAGCGCACTTAAATCAACAAAACAGTGTCGCTTTAGCTACTTGTTTCTTGATTGCCAGGTTACCTTAAATAAGGTCATCAATCCAACGAATCCCACTACTTTCTTTGCCATTTCGATGCTACCTGGCCTTGGGTCCGGGTCACTTTCAACAACAACATCGATTTGTTAGTTCGTTCTACGTAGTGATTACAAGTATATTGTTATGTACGGTGCTTGCTAAGAGCTCATCTATATTCCTTGACATTAGAGAGCTTTGAAGCGGTTTGAAAATGTGTTTAGTCGAGGGATCAACAATGCTGGAATTGCCGACAGCATCCTGCTTAGGCTTCTTTAATTCCCTCTTTATGGGAAAAGTTCTCCTTCTTATAGTCTTATATTGCATTTCTGAACTAGATGAGATCTTCAAACTCCGCTGTCCAGTTAATATGGAGCATTGTGTAAATCTGCAGCTTCCGTGTAAAAATTTGGCGAGATATTCAGCGATGGAGTGGGTGGCTGAGTATTGTCTTTCACCACTCGAAATGGAGAGAATTAAAATTTCCGGAGAGTTGTGCAATGTGGTATCCAAGCTCCTGCTATTCAAGGACTCGGACCCTCTGGATACAGTGAGTAGATTGGTCAGGTGTATTCTTTGGAAAACACATAAGATTTTATTCAACTTTTTTTAGAAAAAAACTCGTTTTCAAATCAAATGCGATTCTTCAATCGTGGAGTTACCGCGATTTCTTGACGTGGATCTTGGAAAATCCGAAAGTAGGTATTTGGCAGAATACTTCATGCAAATAAGTAATTTTCGCTGAGGTTTGCTTTTTTTGTCAACCACAGGATCTTCCCGATATGTGGATCTTCCCCTTCGCATTTTCTGCCCGAAAAAAGAAATCCATCACATCAACATTATCCTCAGCGCTGCAGACGATCTTCGCTGTTTTATTATTGAATGTGAGGCTTTAGAAGATAACACCGCTGATTCCACTGCAGATGTCCTTAATTATAGGAAGGACATGTCTATGGAACGATTTCTTGCTGATCCAACTGTCTTCATAACTGAAGAGTTGGAAAAATTGCACCCGCTAACCAATCGAAAGGTAGAATACAATTTCAGAGTCTACACTGAAAATCTTATCTTCAATATTTTCCTACTTAAGATAATGCCGCAGAATTTTTTTATTTTTCATCTAATTTCATGCCTTCATCGACACGCAGTCAGGCATTGCCTTAACAAGGATCTATGATACGATTGGTTTATACATGGTTACCAAAATCGGCTCCTAGTTAACGGAATGAATCAAAGATTCCCTTCAATTGGAGTTTGTTTCCTGATTAATTGCTTCAATAACATTGTAGCTATTACTTTTCAGGATCGTGGCCTCTGCTTTTATGCTGGAAGAATTGAGATCAAATGTCAAGTCGGTGATTGTACTCACAAAGTTGATCAATCAGATAAACATGACATTTCTCTTTTTCTGCCTAAAAATAAATCATCGAGAACACAGTTATTCCGAGTTGAAAGCGACTTTCCGACAGATATTCTTGTATCTGATGCCCATGTCATTTCTCGACCCAACTGTCGAGGTCGTTGCCGCATTGTCATACCAATAAAGCGTCGAGCCTACACGTTTGGAAAGCTTCTATTCAGAGAAGACTCGATGGATAGTAGGTAAGAGGGGTTGGCTTGAATGCAAGGTTTCAAAATTCCCGGATAAAAGGCATAACTACCGTTTGGATGTGATTCCAGCTTACCTGTTCCACTAACTCTGTTAAACTCGATTCCAAATTTGGAGACGCTTCCTATCAGACGATGGTTGTAGAGTATGTTGAGAAGGGGTGGTTTGTGGAAGTAAAATATACCACGGGGACACACTTACTAAAGAATGGTTTAATCTTGCTGATAAATTGCTCAGAGGTAGATGAAACCACATTAGAGAATATCCTCGTTGGTAACAATGTCGATTTTGACGCTATACATCGAAGTTAATTTGAGTGCTGAAACAGCGGGCTTGCACCTATTTCAATAGCGAAGTGAAAGAGACGTCGTTGAGCTCGTGTGCCTTCCACTGGCAACAGACAACAGACAAGCTTCACGACCTACTTGCTACTTGATTGCCCTACACTATTGAGGCGCACACCACTTCGCGACCAGAAGAATGTAGTTGCTTTGCACATGTAGGCGTTAGATGCAATACAGATGCACAAATTTACCAGAAATCTTCCCCCTAATGGAGACTAAAAGACGATTACGCCAAAGATCAGTCAACTCGATACACTTCAGAGGTACTTCTCTAGAACCCTTCAGGTTCAGTGAATCAGCCGTGAGTGATATCATATCGAGAGTTCACGGCAAAAAAGTGACGCATGAGAAGGCTTGCATTTTAGGGGTGGAAGGGAGTCGGTTATTGCCTAATCTCACCTTCTGCATTCCCTTACATTTGTCCACCCGATTATTATGTTTTCTTGGCACTACATGTACGACCTAGGCAGAAGTGGAAAAGGGAATAACTAAGGTCAACTTGTATTTATTTGAGAAAAGATAATCGAATGCATTTTGGCGTCATTTTAGAAGGATCCAACAATCTGATGAACCCGAAATTCGTCTTCTCTACGAAGTGAACATCCGCATAAAGCCAGGTAGGTCCAAAATAATCAACAAAAATGGTCTGTGAGAGCAATAATTCGGACGAATTTCAAAGTATTTGGTTCTACATTGCTTTCTAGCGCCTCCCATCCAACGTCTTGAAGTTATCTGCCATTGTCTGAAGGTCAATCAAATTATTATTCCTCTAAATCTCTCCACCCCATTGCCTAGTGATGACCAGCATCTACAAGTAACTTTGGAAGGCGACGATCTCACAGGTCCAAACATTACTGAAGATGTTTCCATCTACACTGCTGAATATAGGCCAACTTGTGTGGGCAAAGTTAAAGCTAGGTGAGAAGCTGCATGCCTGAAAAAATATATGTTCTTGTTTTAAATTGCCCGTTGTGTGTGCGCGTGGGCCTGAATACTGTTGAGCTCCAGGCCAGAACAGCCAATGAGACAAAGGCTTCAATGCAGTCATCTTTACTGCCGATTGGCTTAAGCAAGCTGGCAGTGCGGCATGTACTGCTTGGTATTAACCAATCAGGAAATCCGATCGGGAGCCGAAATTCAAAACGCTCCAGTGTGTGGGAATTTGGACACGATAAAAGGAAATGCCTAGGGAATTTAAAAACGAATTATTTCTGGAGTTTTTGTTACTCCCAGCGCACTTCCTTAGTCCCGAATAAGTCAATCGGAAGTTAGTGCATGCGGAATTCGAAGTATTTGTCTTCTTGGTTGAGAAAATGCCATTGGTTTAAAAAGGACTAATTTTTCATTTCTTTTAATTTCGGCTTTTCTTTTCTGCCTTCTAGTGCAATCTTCTACAACTCAAACCTTAGTGAATTTTGGGTCGAGTTGACATTGGTGGCAAAGCCTCCCTTGCCACAAATTGTTTCTCCTTGGAGATGTGAATTAGGCAGGTGGGAACGATTTATTCTGCATTTATCTGTCTAGACAGTGTATAGGTGTAGTGGAAATTGCCAATCCCTCGAGGAAGTCCTACCATCTTTCAGTAGAGAGAGTCAACGATAGGGTGTACGCGATTGATTCCTACTCGCTGCAGAAGGAAGGTGAAATGGTCCCACTTGAGGGAGCCAATGTGCCTCTTCCGGCCTTAAGTACTCTCTACTTGAGTGTCACATTTAGACCTCAAGAATATGGACACTGTCTAAATGATGGTGAAATTGTACTTAGAAGTGAAGAGGTATGTTGTAGTTGGTTGATAAATTTGTGCGCAACTTCTAAACATGTGTCGATTGGCTAATTCAGTGGTCTCAGATCTTGCACAAGATTTACTAATTAAGTCAAATTTTATCAAGTGGAGAGATCATAGCCGCAGGTGAATGATCCCTTGTGAATAATCCTACCTACGGTGGACAACACATACCCGCACACAGTGCAGATACAGCAATTCATCCAGACATCAAACGGTGAGCGCCTTCAAAAGTTGTGGTGCGTAGTGAGTGAACCGTTTGGAATAATGCCGATGATATGTGTATTTGCTAAAAGCATTGTTTCTCATCCCAAGTCGGTCTGTCTGTCTGTCAATCGGCCGGCTAACAATCCAGGAGTTATGGCGAGTTTTACCGAAGTCTCGCCCCCATTCCCCCAACCTATGTAGGTGGATATGCCACTCGAAAGAGTGACGTATTGTCTTCTATTCCTATCACGTCTAGAGGATCTCTCTTGACTCAAGGTATCCTTAACTCTGGTGATATGCCAAACAATGGGGGGAGAGTTTGTGTTTTCAGATGGAAGTAGAGGTTACATGACCGGCCCAGACACAACCGACTACTGGACTTCTTTCACTCGCCACCGGTCTCAACTAAAAGTCGAAACTGTGAAGTCTTTCGCATAATTTTGGAGCTCCACAACCTTCCACCTGCTTCATTGACAAAAGTTTTAGATCAAAATAACTAATTCCTGCTTTTTTATAAGAAAATAGTTAATATGTCATCCCGCCTTTTCCATATAGTTCTTTTCCTATGTAATCTAGCTAGGTGAGCTTCGAGTTCAGCTGCATGGTGAAGGGAGTCTACCGACTTGGAACAGTGAGGTCTGCGTAACATCCGAAGCCGGAAAATCTCAACTCTTTAGCATTTTCTTCACAAACCCTTTCCCCTATCCCATTGATACACGTTGTGCTCTTGAAGCAGTTAATTCGGTCTTCGATCAGGAGATGGAAAAGGCATCCAATGCCTTTGAGATAAGGGGAGAGAGGTGAGAATTTGAACTTTTTACAGTAGATTCAGCTGAATAGCTAAAGAATGAAAACTGATGAACTTTAATTCGCTTGGAGGACTTGACAATAGGTAAAGTATCAACCAATCAGCCATGGAATTTATTCTCAAATCACCCACGACTGGTCAATTTTGGCCAGGATTTTGAACTCATCTGCGCATCATTATTTCCGCCTTTTAATGCTATTTAAATAATAGCTCTTTGGCAAAAAAAGACAAATCGGATACAGTTAATCACTAAAGTCTCAAAGTAGTGTTTTCAAATCTTTTACTTAAAAATACGCAAGAAATTTATGCAAAAGTAGAACAATGGATCTTATTAACCATCGAGCTGACATCTTTTGAGTTTATTTTCTTTTATAGGCATCTGAATCTCTTAGGGAATCAGAGAAAGGAATTCCACTTGCGATTTACACCATCTTTAATGCATGTCTACAGAGCTCGATTTGAAATCGTCGCCAGGAAGGCGAACCTTCACGATGGTGGAGGTTGGGAAACACGGGAGATTGCCTGGTCAACACCATTAAGGGTAAATCGGCCAAGTTTCACTGACAAAAAGGGAGGATTCCACCTTTCAGTTGAACTGATTATTATTGCTATTTTTCGAGGCATGCGAATCCAAGGTCTTCGTGTTTTAACTAACGGGGTTGATGGGGATTTTGTTGACTTTCTTAGAGCAAAAGAGCTCGTTCAAAGACCATGTCGCGTTGCAGAAAGATTAAAAAATATGACCAGAGGGTGGCTGGAATGACCCGATGGATGGGTGAATACATATAGAGATACGTAGATACATGGATACTAGAGGATTGCATGGATATGGGATGGATAGACAAAGGTCATTGACCTATCGATTTTAGACAAATTTTATGACATCTGTTCGAAGTGCTAAAGAGGCTCATCCACTCTCCTATCATATACTACAATGAGAAGAAATTAATATTTAGGGAACTCCAACTCTGCGCGGCACGTTGGAATTACCACCCAAAGATCTTCTACAGGAACTCGTGCATCCTCGTAAACAACCAAAATCAGTTCATCCTCTACTCAAAGTGAAAGCTGGAACTTCAACACCAATCAAACTGCACCTCAATCTAGCTGGCTTCGTGAAGGATCCAGATGAAGATATGGTTTTCAATTGGAGGTTTGTTGTGGACTCCTGTCATGAGGACACCCTCGTGGATGCGGATACAGTGTTACGGGAAGCCGTTTTGTTAGAGCAAACAAAATGTGATTTTGCGGATCCTTCCGATAATGTTCCCCATCTTGAACTCTCTGGAGTCTTTAGACCAAGTAGATCCTTTAAGTAAGTCATGCTATGTTCTTTGAAATGTTTCTTTTGAACTAAGAGGTCAAGTAGGGTAGCGAGTTTACCCGAAGATAACCAATCGGCCTCTCCTGTGGTTACTCCACTTTCACTTTCCAAGGTCACAGATTTATTCGCTGGATGTTTAATGATCAAGCAAAACAAAGTTCAACAACTGCGTCACTTGGACGGTAAAAAACTATGTAAAAATTTACAGGAAATACTAACTACCTACTTTGTAAATACATATCAAACAAGCAAAACGTGCTGTGACCTCCTTCAGTGGAAAATAGGCTGCCAAAGCACACTTGGAGAGTAGAGAAAATTAGCTAGAAAGAATTATTTTACTCCATTAGGCAATCAAAGAAAGCTATAGCAGAAATTCTATTTTAAAAGCCTGGCAGTGGGAACCAGCGGGCAACTGTGAAACCCACATGACATCAATGATGTGAAAACATCAACTCGGAAAAAAACAACGAAATGGAAATAGGTGAAACGGAAGACAAACGGTTTAGTTTATTTCACAGTGAAGACGTCGTAAATTAGAGAGTTTTCAAAACCTTCTTTAAACATCATTGGACAGTAGATTTTGCGACCTACTCATAAGTGTAAGCCTTGGCACCTCCAAGAATTGACGTCAATGCGAGCTAGACACCTTATTACTCCTTTTAACTATTGTAGAATTGATGCGTCTCTATGTGTCACTTCAAAAGCTGGCGGTATGTGGGTCTTTCCGGTCCATCTCGAGGCCACATTAACTCAAAAGGTGGAAAGGAGACTAATTTTCTCCCCCCAGGGTCTATGGAAATCAGATTATAAGAAACTGCGATTAGACAGCCGTGAAGAGTAAGATCTCGCGTCTTTATTCATGAAGTCTCTGTGGCTTTCAGAACTCCTGCTAAGTTCAGAGCTTTCCTTGTCAAAACTGGTGCGGGATTATTTTCCATTAATAAAACATCTGGATTACTACCAGCAAAGGATGCAGGAATCTTCACCCTGATCGTCAAATTCACACGAAAAAGCTATGGCAGGGAGGTTATGGATCGACTTGTTATCCAGGTAGATGCATTTCTGAGGTTTGCATCCTCAGATTGGCCAAACAGAAATGTTCTTTCTTGAAAGCTGACACTTATTAGCATTCAAAAAAATTTAAATGATAAATAATATTAAAAAATTGCCTGGAAACCATTATTCAGATCCATTTTTAACTCACTGGAAGTATTTTTCTGCTAAAATGAATGATGTTTGGTAGTAGCTACTGGCTGTGTCCCAATCCAAAACACGCAAGTTTATAAGACCTAGTCGAGACGAGCGCGAATCGCAGGACTCAGATAACCGGCTGAAAATAAAAACAACGAATACTTTCCTGAAATTGTTATGCATGGATGATTTGTAGTAGTCTCTTGAATCCATTCCTTCAACATTCAACATTAAGGTCATGGGTGATGTGATTCTAAAACGAGTGCGTGGATGCTAGATTTTTGTGCCCATTTCTGTTTATCTTTTTAGACTCCAACCATGGAATGGATGTACGAACTCAGTGCAGAGGCAATATCTTGAGATAAGCCCAAACATTACTTACTGGGAAACAATTTCTTGTTTGCTTGTCTCGAAATAAACAAAGCACTGGGGAAAGCAACTTACGTCTTTCGATTTCT